TATAAAAATGTTTTCAGTCATTATTTTCAAATTCTTAATTACAATTTGTTGGTCTTCTTTTTCTTTTAGTGTAAATTAACAGTGCTTATTGAACAGTTCAAAGAGTTAGCTAAAGTTTTGAAAAAATTGAAGAGTCATTCTAAATATACTGTAAAAGTAACAAAACGAAAAAAAAAAAAAAGAAGTGGAAATGAAAAAAAAAAAAAATGAGGCATCTGATCTGAAAGGCCTCTTGAAACTCGTAAAACTTGTTCAAAACACTTAACTTTGGGACAGTGCAAAGAAAATGATCCATCTTCAAATTTCTTTTAGTGGGGTTTTACGAACTGAAAATTATTGCAGCTTTCCTGAACTGTTTTTATTGGTTAAACTTTTTTTTTTCTTTTTATGCTCTACTCAACCGATCTAATTTACAGTAAAGCTTTTTTTTTCTGTTCTGTATTTTAAGGTTTTCTGAATTGTCGTTTAGTAGTTTTTTAATAGTTAAGAGTTTAAAAGAGTAATTGTTAAAAAGGCTGATGAGTTGAGACTAAAAACACTAATATTGTTTAAGGATTTATTGAGTTGTTGTTTTGCTGGTGGTAGTGATTGGTGGTGTTAGTGTTGTCGTTCTTAGGCTCGTTATAGTTTCTCAATCTCAATAAATTTGTTTTGATAATCAACACCCATTACTGTGCGCAAATTTTCTTGATCAGGTATTGCGATCTATGTTGGTTATTGCGTACGATACGACTATATAAATCATCTTATGTTACCAGAACCTATCTGAAATTTTTAAATTTTTCTCTCAAATACCGCATGTCTTAGTGGACCATCCCCTCAAGATTGTTTGCCATTTTGATTGTGCTCATTTCGACGTCCTCAGATTACTGCAGGTCTTTGATAAAAGGGTACAACTTTGATGGTGCTGTTTTTTACCTGGTAAATATTGAATCTTGGAATAGGTGGTTGCTTAAAGCAAAGGATGTTTAATTTTTCTTCATCTGCAAAAGGAAGTCAGCAAAGATTACTGTCTTAATGCTTTATTTCAACTCAGTTTACTAGCGGAAGTAAAATGTTCATATAAAAGGGACGGAAGTCATTGAAGTATTTATCATTCTGCCTTATAGCTTATTGAATGTGAGAATGTTTGGTTTTTCTTCTCAATTTTTTTTTGCTTATATTATTTAATTTGCTTATACAAGATAAGAGAATTTGTACCTGTGTACAGTTTTTCTTATTTGCATTTCCTACATTTTTTTTGGCATTTTTAAATATTTGGTCTGAAGCAAGTTTATTGCTGGGGTTGGTTAACACTTGATTTGTGCTTTTGTATTTTGAACGAAAATTTTCAAGACAATTTACATCAACTATTAGCTATCTATGCGATAAATGTTGTTTCTATAATTTATGCTTTCTTGGTACAGAAGGAAGCCGTTTTTTTGATTAGCTTTTTCGTAGCGTAATAAAAGTCTGAAAAATTTCTTGCGCTTTCTTTATTATCAGCATATAAACATTAATACTGGTATGCAATAGTTCAAATGTGATTTTATGGCGTAAACGAAGACTAATCTTGATTGCTTGTTACGGTATGAAAATTTGATTTCAGATATATATGGCTGATGGCTGATTGATTCTAATGCTCAGTAATTTCTTGGCTATTATTTATGTTAGCTTATTTCGAACTCTAAAAGAGGTGATTAGTGATTCCCGGGGAGCAGGGAGCTGCTTGACTGTGAGCGGTGGTTGATGTTAATCGGTTGCGTTGAGATACTGCAAGGAATGCTTTTACGTCTTCTGCTATTGTTTGTTGTCAATAGTGGCTTAACTAAATCGGCATTATATCGGCGACAAACAAAGAGTCCTGTTAAAACAGATGAAGTTAACTCGTCGACGCTTGTTAATATTATCATCTCGTTTAAGTCTAACGATCGTCTAAAGGAACAACAACTGTACGGTACATTTTCGTCGTCTGGTACCGGCTATGAAATCGTTGGTGATGTTGTACAGGTTGGTTTCTGTATCTGTTTACAGGTTTTCTTTTTTCACAATGACATAGTTTTGAAGTTTTGATTATGATTTTTAATTATAAAGTATACCAACGTAGAAAAATTGTTACGAAAGTTTTAAGTTGATTTCTTTTATTAGAAGCAAAAGCAATAGTTTTTTGGTATATGCGTGCTGCTTTTATTTTTTTGGCTGTGATGCCTTTTATGCCTATTATTGAAAATTTTTTTGAAATATTTGAAAAGCTAAATATAGGTTACAGGATGGAACTTTTTTTTTTACTGTAACTGTATGAATAACGATGCTCATTGTTGAAACTGACTTGATTTTGTGCAATTTTTTTCTTTAATTTGTGCGTTGTTGGAAATGAAGGTATGTTTGAGTTGAAAGTGGCTCATTGAAGAGTCAAAGATATTTCTCATTAGACGAATTTCCTTATGCGATAAACGGAGACGGAAAAAAAAAA